GTTAAAAAAAAAAAAAGGCACGTGCTCTTACAACAGATGGGAGGGAGGGGCATACAAATATTAAGCCATCAGATATAAGTAGCTAGTAAAAGACTATTTCAAAATTATTAAACTATGACAAAAGCTGAATAATCTATTAAAGTTAACTCAACAAATCAAAGATATAGCACCAAAGCAAAGTCAACAAAAGAAAATAAACTGGAATATATCAAAAAATTTAACTTCTGTGTATGAAAAGACGCAATCAACAAAGTGAAAAGGCACCTATGAAAAGAGAGGAACTCTTTGTAAATCATGTATCTGATAAGGGATTTAATATCAAGATTAACAAAGAATTCACAACCAAAAACAACCACCCAATTAAAAACTGAGCAAATGACTAGAATTCACATTTCTTTATGCATGATTATTCAATAAACTCATCAAAAGATACTCCATATCACTATGGAGTTATTATGACTGAAAACCAAACCATGAGATAATCCCTCACATACATCAGGCTGTCTACTATCAAAAAATCAAAAAATAGCAATTGTTGGTGAGACTGTGAAGAAGTTAGAGCCCCTGTGTACAGCAGTGCACAAGGTGAGAATGTAAAATGATGAAACCATTGTAGAAAACAATATGGCGGTTTATCAAAAAATTATAAGTAGAATTACAACATGATGCAGCAATTCCACTTCTGGTTATGCGCTATGCATCACTTAACATTTTAGTCAATTATGGATGGCCTACACTTAACCAGGAAGTGGGCTAAAACATCTAGATTTGTATAATTACACTCCAGGACATTAACAGAATGATGAAATTGCCTAACAACACATTTCTCAGAATGTATCCCCATTCTTAAAGCAACATATGAGTGCACACTCATATACTCAGAAACACAAACGTACACCCACATTCACAGCAGCATCATCCACAATATCCAAAAGGTGGAGACAACCCAGTATACATCAGTGGATGAGTTCAATAAACAAAATGAAGTCTATACATTTAATAGAATATTATTCCATTTCACAAAGGAACAACATTCTGACACATGCTACAAGACTGATCAAACTTAAAAACACTATACTAAATGAAATAAGTCAGTCTCTTTGAAGACAAATGCTGTGATGAGGAACCAGAGCAGTCAAATCCATAGAGACAAAAATGGTAGCTAGGGACTGGGTAAGAAGAAGTGAGGAGTTATGCTTAATGGACACATAGTTTCAGTTTCGCAAGAAGAAAAGAATTCTGTGGAGAGTGATGATGGTACCAGGACAATGAGAATGCCCTTATCACCACCCAGTGCTACACTTTAAAATGGTTAAGACAGTAAATTTTACATTGTTTTTATCACAAATAATTTTTTTTTTTCCCAGAATGTTTAAGGATGGGCAAGTATGGATCGTACTTCTGAAAGTGTGGGTCACCTATACATAGTTTTATGCTTATTGAAGGTTGAAGGCTGGAACCAACAAGCACTGAGAAGAAACAGAAAATCCTCTAGCTCTTTAGAAGCCACAGGACCCCAAATGCAGCCAAAGCCTGAAGAGCTCTGTGGGGACACACATTCAGACTGTTGATTGATGTTAAAACTATCGAATGATAACCTGGGATATTTATTTCACTTCAACAGCTAAGAAGATTTTATTGCTTCTCTACTTGTGCCACTGATTTTGAAATTAATTTAGAAAAAATACCACTTCAGTTTTACTGTAGCTTGTCAAGGTAGTTGTAAATCTCACTTGAGTACCTCTGGTATTTGTTTTCTCATGACAAGTGTAGGACACTTGCAAATCTGATAAGCATACTTCTAATTCCTCCACCCCAAGGAATTCACTGGCTATCGTATACTCTAGTTCAGAAAAAAAAAATAGTACCTGTGAGTGTTAATATGACATCAATATTTTAGAACTTTTAGGGTTCTCTGGAATATACCACATGATGATAAAAGGAAAAAAAAAAAATCAGCCTTTCCAGACATGCAGCATGGTAGGAAATGAAGCATAAATACACAGCCCTGTTATTCTTTTTTTAGGCATTAATGTCATTTATTTACAAAGACTTTGGATTTTAGGGAATTAGTTCTTTGTCCTTAAGGGTAAACTGCCCTTAAAATGAAAGCATCAAACTACTTGGTGTCTTAATTAATGACAAGAAGAGGCAAGCCCTTTGTAAAACTAAAGGCATTTACTCGCTTCTTGCCTTCTGGCACTCTTCCAACTCTTATGGAATCACAAAATTATTTTACATTCTTTAGAGACTGTGTCTGCAAGTCCCTTTAGCCCACTGGGCATGTCTTCTGACTGAAGCTTGAACGAATTCAAAGCAGCTTACTGCTTTTTTCATATCACATCTAGTTTGAAGTATATTTTTGGACTTAATGCTTTCTTGAAACTACCATGCTCAAAATGGTAGTAAAATAGGAATTGTCCTCTTTAGGACACCCTCTAAGCAGTGACTTTATCCCTTCTTTGTCCTTCTGATTGATCATTAAATAGTTAACATTTCTGAAAATGGGCTTTACTCTATGTAGTGAATTTCAGTCCAAGATTTAAGTTTTTGTTTTAAGTAATATTTTGAAAGTATTCATGGTACTGTTATACAATCTTCTGTGTGCTATTCATGACTAGTGTTCAGAGTTCTTAAAATCTTGATCTCCTCAAAAAGCTCCTTTTCTGGGGATACTTGCTGTGGATGCCTCCTGCCTTTCTCTCACAGGTAATTTCTAAACTCCCTATGCTTCAACTGCCATCTCTATGCCAATTATTCCCATACATCTAGTGTCTATGTGATTCTGTACTTCAGAGAGGTACTACTAAGAGTCTTGTTCAATCATCTGCAAGGATTCTCTTTCATGGAACTAGTATCTTTGACTTTCCCCCTTCCTTACCTGTTATCAAACTAGCCTCGAGTCCCTTCAATTAAGTCTCACGCAGCACTTGAATTCTGCTCTTCCTACTCACACTCTCCGTGCCTTAGTTCTGGCCATGACCATCACTTGATCAAATACATGCGTGCCTTCATGTAAGCCCTGCTGAGGGACAGCAACAAAGCCTAAGGCCAAGGGTGGAATCTAGGGAAGCTATTTGCTAAAGGCTAAGGAAAAACAGATTCAGGAAGAATGTGTATGAAAGTTAGTAGCCAGAAAACAAGAGAAAGTATGATAGAAAAATCCAGTGTATACAATGCTAAGGAAAACCAATCTAGTCAAAAAGGTGATCCAGTAAATGAGCTGAAATAAAAAGATGTGCTAGGACAAGAAAAGAGCAGACAATGGAAGCACCTTCCAGAAACGGGAACATTCTGATGTCTTTCTGTCCTCCCCTCCCTTTCTTCCTCCTCCTCCTGCCCTTGCCTTTGTTTCAGATTTCTCACGCCTTTGCCTGGGGTTTTCTTCTCCTGGAATAACCTTTTTCTGAATTCTGTGCTAGCTCCCCTGGGATTTAAAGGTCATACGCACCAGAATGTTCTCTCACTTATTCTATTTTGGGGATGTCAAGAACAGTGTCTAGTACAAAATAAAACTCAGTATCACTGACTGAAAGACTTATATATGTTCTCAGCTTCTCCTCAGTCAACCTTTAAAGATATGGATGATGGCTACTGTGAGGTGAAAGGCAAACTGCCCCCTTCACATTAATTTTCAAGTTCCTCCAGCCTCTCTCAGCATGCCCAGCAAGCTTATCAGGTTCTCCTTTGTGGTGATAACACCATGTGAGAAGCTCTGCTCCAACAGGCCTCATGCTCTACCTCCCTTGAAGATGGGCAGAGGGGCAATTACAAAAGGAAAAGTTTAATTAAGTCTTCCTAATAATTCATGGACCCCAAAACATGGCGCCAAGGACAATTATACTTTCAGATATGTTATATATTTCCAGGTTATTAGCTGAGTCTGGATAATCCCCAGAGTAGTTTCTGCAGGTTAATGAATAAACAGCTAATTGGATCACAAATATTTCAATTTTGTCTTAATAAAAAATGATGAAAATGCCCCCAAATTAGTTATCCAAAATTCATTCATAACTCTACAGTTGACAATAATAGTTAATGTCAAATCCAAAAATAAGCAATGACCAAATTATATTATGCATCTGGAGACAATCAGAAAAATCATCACAAGTAAAGGTTGTTTGGCCCATCTTTGTCTGATTCCACTTATTTCCCCATTTAATTTATTTGAGTACATTTTCTTGGGCACCATTCCAAATGCTAAGGATTTAAAGATGAATATAATTTTAAATTGCACTCATGAAGTCTGTTTCAAGAGGGAAAACGCTCAACAAATGTGATATGAATAGCTGAAGTTCTGAGAGAAGAGAAAGAATATATTTTCCAAAGTACACAATGACGGTAACTCACACAAAACTGACAGTAACATTTGCAACTAACTTGTAAAATATCTGTCACTTTAATCCTACTTTATAGAATTTAAAAATCATTAAAATTACAGCACATAATTTACATCCAAAGCCTGAAATTAAGGAAGGTACAGACTTCGCATCATATAAAGTGTACTGAAAAAAAAAATGGTATGGTAGTTTAGTTTTATGAAACAACAAAGATATACACCAAGAGAAAAAATATGCAGAGACATAAAGAGAAAAGAGTAAAGGTGCTTTTGAAGTGAGTCAGGCTTAAAGACCTCTTGTACCAGAGAACTTCTTTCCTCTTCTGGAAAACAGAAACTAGTACTTCCCTCAGGGGATGGCTATGATGACTAAGTGGGATATTAATTGGCATATGAAGAGCAGCTATTTAGCTATTTGTCAACACGTGGCTATATTGGCTGACTGAAAGAGAGAACAAGGGAGGAAGTGAAGGAGGAGGGAGGGTGGAAGGAAAGAGGGAAGGAAAGATCAAGGTAGAAAAAAAACAAGCAAACAGTACCAGCACTGTTGCATTGACAAGGTCACAAACTCTGAAAAGGGCTTAAAAGTTCAATATTATCCAGCAAGTCTGAAAAAACAACTAATAAACTTAAAGAACAGCACTACTACTATTTTTCCTACCTGCCCCGTTTGATAATGTCTTGCAAATTGGTTCACTACTCGGTAATCATTTGCAAAGTACTCCATCAGAATAGAAGGAACCTCAGCAAAGTCAGTGGGACACCTGGTCCCTAAAATGGGGGGAAAAGAAAAAAGTTGTCATGGATCATATCAACATGTTTATCTTCCTTTGTATATACTCTTGCAAAACTTTTATTTGTACTTCTGATGAACTATGCTTAAGCGTTAATTCATTAAATCAATATTTTACTTCTATAAAATTATTATACATATTTACAGAAAAGTTTATTATAATTCAATATATTTTCCTATATGTCGAAAGTAAAACAAAATATTTGCACAGCTGTATAAAACACCTTGTAAAGCAATAGTTCACACCCTCTATAAACAAACCTATCCTCAGCTATGCTGGGTTATACATAAAACACAAATTAAAACATTCTTACAACTTATATAACATTTGTATTTTATGCCCTAAGGTCCATCATCAAGTGCTTTTATCCTTCATTTGTATTAAAAGCACTTTGATTTGTCCATTCATTGCTTTTTATAACAAAGCCAAATTCTCTAAGTAGAAAAACAATGCCTTTAACTCAAAATTACTGAAAACAAATTCTACAAGAGAATTTTTGGATGACATTTTGCTTCTGTACAATCTTTTCAAATATACTGTCCTTTCAAAACTACTACATGTAAATTTAGTAAGTACTGATTGTCAACAACAGCTTAAGACCAATAGATAACCAATAGCTTAAGACTTTGAGATGAAACAAATAAGAGGACTATCAATAGTATCATCAAGTAAGGCTACATATCAGTGTATAAAACAAATAACAAAACTATACTGTCAATAGGAGGAATATATAAGAAATAAAAGTAACTTATTATACTTTTTTAATAAGTTTTATTATGTTGAGGCAATGTACATTCATTTTTTCACTCACTAACTCTGTTAGGTACTAAGAAGATACACATTTACTCAAAAATAAAAAAAACATGAACCATAAAAGTAAATTCCATGTAGAACATTTGTACTTCTATTTGTACAGCACAAACTCAAAAAACAGACAACTGAGATATTTTTGAGAACTTGTTAGCAAAGAAGGAAAACACATAAGAGGATCAAATTGCATAATGGAAGGACAAGATGAGGGTAAATGACTACAGAACATCATTAAATAATTGGACTTTCTAAATCTAAAGCTTTTTTCCTAATTTCAAATAGAGTATGTTGTTAAAGGATTGCTATAAGTAAAAGTCTCCTGTGGCTCACCAGTGACATGCTGGTATCGAGTGCGTCCCAGCATAGAATGCATGGCATGTCCCATTTCATGGAAAAGATTTTCCATCATTCCAGGAGTTAATAAAGTTGGTAAATTCCTTGAGGAGTGGGGGAGATTCAGCATAAGAACTACAACAGGAAGTTGATAGTCTCCATCTTCCTTTACTCTGCCTCCACGGATTGTAAAATGGCAATCCTTTAAGAATCAGAAAACATAGGAGTATTAGATACAGGATAAAAATGTGTGAATTTGAGTTTTAACTTAATTCTATTGTTACTCTAGTCATTTAATTATAGATACATATTCCAACACATTTTGTTTTGTTGAAATTTTAATTTTTTAAATACCAATATATTCAGCTTGCTTGATGAATTCATTCATTTTCTACAAAAATACATATTGAACTGATATGATAGCAGTTGCTGAAAACACAGTCATCAAAGAGCTGAGATCCACACTCTCATGATGGTCAGAAGCAAGAGTAAGAACGGGAAGATGTTGAATTACTAGGAAAGAGGCCACTATTATTTACCTAACACCTTCCATGTGTCAAGTAATGAACTAAGAAAAATTTCCATACCTATTATCTTCATACTTGAAAGTAATGACTCTATAAACTATCACAGAGCAAGCAACCTAGAGTAACTTTCCCTGTAACTGGCTGGTATTTCACATACATTTTATCACAGATTTTACGCAACAAGCCTTGAGGTAATATCCCCTTTTTCAGATGAGAAAAACTGAAACTGATCTTGGGAATACTGTCACGCTCCCAACACCCATGATGTCATGTGTCCAAAACACATGTTGCATCTGGGATTGAGCCTAAGCCAACTAGAAGGTGTCTTGGTTCCCAAACACTAACTGAAACTCTGCAGCAGCCAATACAGTAAAGAGGAGAATACAGAACTCAGGGTCCTATGACACAGGACACTGTAAGAAAAGAGTCTCCTCTCTACTTTGTTAAATGCCAGAAAGGTGCCCTGATTTTATAAGCTCATATATGTTAAAATACCTTGGAAGTTATAGATCACTATTCAAATATAAAGTGCCATTATGTTTATTAGAATACACACCCTGAGATTTTAACACTAGACATCAAATGCTGAAGCCAACTGACTGGCAAGTCTGGGGTGCAACTAAAGGAAATAAACTTCATATTCCACATACAGAGAGAATTGATGATTGATAAAGTTTTCAAATAGACATATTTTCTATAATTTTAAATTAGGTCCCTTTTCAGGTAAGGCAAGTACTACAGAATGGAGTTTGCATTCAGATCCCAAACTTTTGACTATGTGATTCCAGATAAATAACTTAACCTCTCTGGTCTCAGTTTCTCCATAATATTAAGATGAATATTGAAAGAGGCAATGAACATAAAGGACTCAGTACATGGATAGGACACAATGGCACATCAGTTATCATTATTACCATGAGACAGTTAAAAGTGACATGTTTTCCTGTCCTTATTTGCAGATGATATGTTAATTTATATGGAAAACCCTAAAAGCTCCACAGAGGAACTAATCAAAACTATCAACCAATTTAGCAAGGTAGCAGGATATAAAATCAACACACAAAAGTCAGGGGCTTTCCTATACACAAACAACCAA